TGCGTCGGGAATATCTAGCCATTCACACTGTAATTTTTTCGATGAAAACGCAGCACTCCACCGCCTCATATAGGATGATCACGTCTGAGCAGCGACATTCCAGATAGAAACGATTCCGAGTCGAGAATGTCGGTGGTCAGCCAAGTTTCGGTAACGGCAATAATGTTCAATCGATTAGTTTTCCAACGAAGTTCCATGTTGGAGAATTTGCTAGGGTAACCTCGTGCATTGGTATAAAAACATGAAATATATCTTCGACGAAGGAAATCTATCTGGGCATGTGGTGTTGTTTCTACCAACCAACTTAGGGTCGGCTAACAAGGTTTTCTGTAGATTTGGCTTCGTCGGTGCTGCTTGGTGAACGTGGAGTGATAAAAACCGCACTAGTTGAGGAAGGTGGCGTGTTAGTATCGGTTGCGATTTTCGGACTTTGCTGGGATCCAGTACGTAATAGGCGTAACTCCCGCGAACCCTTCTTCTATTATACTTTCACGACTGCAATACGAAGTTGGCCATTTCTAGCGTTCCGAGGGTCACTTCATTATCCTCGGGCCGTTTCCATGGTAGTTCGGTGAGCTGGGTGGACGACTATTTGCCGCAGTAAGAACCTGGGTACAATTAAGTAGTCCTATAATGAAACTTCATTCCTTGCAATCGTTTTTTGGCATAGATATTCGTCTGGATCGTCCAGTTGAGGGACTCCATGAATAAAACCCGTTTGTTCTCCGATGGTCATGCGTTTGTTTGGTTAGTGCGATGTTGTGTACGCTCCCTCCAGGGCCTATCTAGAAGTATTCTTGTTCTACACGAATCTATTTTAAGAAGGTAACTAGAGAGAAGAACTTATTCCAGGTCGTTCTCGTCTGCAAATGTTACACCAGTGAATCGTGGCTCCCCAGTAAGTGGTGACGATGAATGGTGAAACAGCGGCATGATTCCAACTGGGTCAACGTCGACCCATTTGGTTACATAAATCAACCCAGCGATCAATCTCCTCTGCCTGTTTTCCCTCAGTGTATTTGTTATGGACTCCGGCACGTTAGCGCAAATAACTGTCATTCAGGGGTTGTAAATTTCCTTCTTTATCTTCGGCACCGGATTGTGTTCCTGAATAATCTGAGCTTTGAGCTCAATGACTTTTGGCGACTCTTGATCTCTGGTATTATCCTGTACTGAAATTGCTTTGACGTCGAGTTCCAGACTGCGTATTGACAACGCTGTAATGCGGCTCTTTAGAAAACAACGAGGACTTTTTGTGAGTCTGCGAACTGGACTGCGAGGGTTGACCGGAGAGCTCAAAGCAGATATCGTTTCTTCCAGTAAAGTGACTTCTTCTTTCATCAAGTTTATTCAGCAAAAGTGGATAAAATGGGGACAAAAGCGAAGTAAAGGGGAGGGTGAAGTTAATTCTGGAATTTTCGGTGACAATTTTCATGTGCCATTTGTCTTCCATGTTGCATCATTGCGATACCACTGAGGTCATGGTTTGGATCATCACGTAGGTTTGGTCGGGGCAAAGGCAGCTCAAATGCGGCAACCGTCTTCTTCAGATGACACAGTACTGGGTTCATGATTTTGATTGCCACAGCCTCCACTGTTGCCAAGTGACGTTTTCGAACTTGCTTTGATTTGCTTTGGGGTACTTTGTAGATGATTTTGAATGCATCGTTGTCTGGCTGATGTCCGGTATCAGTGAGGTGGCTCATAATTGCACTGGTCACTGTTTTCTTGCAATCCGTTCTCAGTCAGGTTTATGTTCTCTGATCCTTTGGGAGAGCTGCCTCATCGTTCGTCCTACATAACTTGCCGAACATGTGCAAGTGAAATAATAAGTAATGATAGATGAGGAGAGGATGGACAGCTTATCCTTGAGGTTTGTGCAGAGCTGAGGCCGGCTCGTAAACATCAAACGTAGAGTGGCGGTTGGAAATGTTTGTGTAATAGCTTTCTCCAGACATCTTAGTATATCACCATTCAAATCTCCTTTGAACGTGACACCCACGACACCCACCAAACTCTCACAAAAAAGTGAACAGTATTGTAAAACGGATCCAAGAATACGGTTTTCACCTCAGATTGGAGAAGTGCAAACTTCTTATGCCTTCTTTATAATATCTCGAAATCATCATCACCAGACACGGTCATCGCCCCGATCCCTCCAACATTGTGACTGTCAACAAAATGTATTCGCCACTGGATACCAGTTCGTTAGAACCATTTTAAGAATCGTGTGCCAGTACGCAGCCTTTCTTCCGGATATACCCTTCCTGCGTTCTCCTCTAGATGAATTGCTGAAAACGGATGCAACTGGTCACCAGCGTTCTTTTAATGACGTCTAAACAAAGCTACTGTCCGACCTGCTGCTGATCAACCTCAATCCGGAATTCAGAATCATCGAGGCTGCCGGTGCATCAAACCAAAATATGGTTGCTGTCACCTCACATGTGTGCTCAGATGGGCGAGAAAAGGTAGTTGTACGAATTGCACGATCCATAGCCGAAGACAGCTACGACCAAATCGTTAAAAGAGGCCTTTGCTATCATACTTACCTTACAAACGTTCCACGAGATGTTATACGGTCGCCACTTTGCACTCCTGACTGATAAGAAACCATCGCTCACGATGTTTGGTTCAAAGAGTGTTTTTTTAATTTTTTTTTAAATTTTACTTTCTTTTATTTTAATACAGTGTGATACGGTTTTCAGGTAAGGGGAAGCGATCAATCAAAGTGTTGCCATGGGGAAAGTCAGGCGGTGGCGGTGGGGTTCGAACACATCCCCCGAGGTGGTAAGTTGGTGATGTCACCACCGGGCCACCAACGCCCGTTTACTCAGCAAACCGGCTGCAGCACGCAGCCACCGTGTTGGCCGGATGTAACGTAGGAATCCGGTTCCAATCCACGGTGAAAATTGGCCAGATAGATACTCTCCCGTGCCTCACTGACCCTTGAAGGCAACAGAGGGAAGATATGGTTATCACATCTGTGTCGGTGGAAGCAGATCTGTAGACCTAACAAACGGATACTATACGGTCACTGCCAGTGACTTTTGCTGAAATACCACGGGCAGCCAGACAGGATTCCATTTAGGAATAAGTCGCTCATTATTATTCCAGACATTGGTCAACGCACATGTTTGGAGCCCTACAACAGTTTTATCACGGTCAAGAATGCATATCAGCGGTGGGCGATTGCATTCTGTTCACGGAACGTGCCATCATCTCCAACAGTTCGGTGCCGGCCACCCATGGATCAACCGCACGAAGGTCCTGGTCAGCAGCTGTCTATTGGCTTAGTATATGAACCAGATTCTTGAAGAGCTTGAATGTGTCCAAGTAGCCCAGGCAACTGTCAATATTAACCTATAGCATTGGCCAAAACCGATAGCCCCATGGTCACGGGTTCTCGCTGATTTTGCGGGACCACTCAACGGCAACTATTTATTGGTTGTGATTGATACCTACGCAAAATGACCGGAAGTATTCTTTATGGAACGCGAAGCCACCATAGCCACCACCATCAATGTCCTCCATAGCCCCCGAGGACGCTGGAGAGTGATGATGACTGTCAATTCATATAAGCTATTTTCTCTGCGTTCTGTGAACAATCTGGTATCAATCACCACCGTGCGCCGCCTTGCCACCCAGAGTTACACGACCAACCCGAATGCTTTGTGGACATCTTCAAGTGAGCATTCCAGAAGCATGAATCAGAAAGTCCCCCGGGAGAAGTTTTGAACGTCTTTCTACTAAACTACAGAGTTATACCAAACCTCAATGTCCCAAACGGTACGTCTCCGACCGANGTTTGAAAGGAGAACTATCAGAAACCAACCACCGTAGTGATGAACCAGACTGTGAACCCAATCTGTCAGTAGACATATGAATGGACACATTGAGTATACCATGCACAGATTACGGGATTTTTCCTACCCAGTACAAATTTCTAGCATAACAAAATTGCAACACCTTGTATGGTAACCTGCTAAATCTTTAAAGTGATAGACCCATATCGACCACGACACCATCAGTGGCCACTTGCCGGGGTAAATTCAAGGCCTACGCTCTCACTGATCAACACTCGTGGATACAGACCATACAGTGTTAGAAGCCAGATTTTGCCTAAGCTAGTAAAGATCCGCAACAGAAGTGTCGGAAAGGGATGCGCAAATTGTGCTTTGAAGTAGAGCTCTCTCGTATACCTTCAGTTCAATCACCAACCGAAAGGCTCAATGCACAATGGATTCCAATCAAGGAAGCTAGACATCAACTGTCCTGCTGGACACTCCCGGAGTCCTTCTTCAGACATCGGATGGCGCTTAGCTAGTCAAAAGTCTGAGCATTGATCGTTTACAGGGGTGGGTACCAGTTTTTAAAGCAATGGAGAGTATGAAGCCATCAATACTGGTTACACTTTCATCTAAGTAGAAGTGCGGGTTCAAGCAAAGCAGATGCAAGTGTGGTTATTACGGAATCTAACGGGTCAGTGATACGTATCCAGCAACGCAATTTTGTAAAATGGGTTGTGAGATTCGAGGCTGACTTTAGTTGTCTCCTGTTGACACAAAACCTGATAATTCCCGCTTCAGCAGGGCAACTTCTTCCAGTTGATATCAGCCGTCGAGGTTTCCAAGGCAATAAGTTGTCTCAAATATCACAAGGCTTCCAACCCGCAGAGAGGTTATGCTTTTGTTTTGCAGTTACTAAAACTCATGGGTTCAATGTAGGACGTTGAACAGATTCCAATTGATTGTTGTGATTCGTTCGTCTTACCGATTCACGAGAAAGGTAACAGATTCTCTTATGAAAGTCCCAGAGGAATCAGTTTGGTTAATATTGTCCTCAATCATTTAGCATTCATTCTGCACTCCTTCGATTGTATTTAACTCTTTATGCTGACAATGGAAGTCTAGTCCGAGTTTATGGCACGTTTTAACCCCAGGTCACCATAGAAAATGGAGTTCGTTAGCTTTGACCTCTATGTTCATTCCTGTTTGACTTTGAAATGTTGTACTTGTATTTCTATAAGGTGTGTAAATTTACATTTTTTACATTTCAGATTTGATTTTGGAAACAGACCTATCCTCCTGCGAGGGAAGTAGCATAGATTTGCCCCCTGACGACAGACTGTCTGACCTGTAGTATGCAGACGACAATGTACTGCTAAGAGAAGACTCACGGAAGTTGCGAGTTTAGCTGGTTAGTTTGAGGGTTAAAGTAGTCATGTTCGGTATGAATTGGCATCTTTGAAGTATAAAATGCTGCTGCTGCTTTGCTTCCATTCAGTTAGCAAACTCACTCTGACTGGGGATGTATAAGACCAAGTAGATAAGTTTTGTTATTTGGGCAGGTATACCTCACCTGGTGGACGCATCACGGATGAAGAGGCACCTCACATACAGAATGCTCGTTTGGCGTTTGCGTACTTAATACTTGAGGTGCTGGAAGAGCCTTTGAATTCGGCCGTAACACTGGAGCTTTCCCTTTTTCCTACATACATGAACATTGGATATACTTTCGCATTCATTGCAGCGACCTTAACGATTACCAAAATGCGCTCAGTCTAATTTCCTTACGAGTATCCGTGGAAGGTATAAACAATTCGCCATTACGTGCATTTGCCTAGTTTGTTAAAAATACGGTTAGAAGGATGACTGGAAATTCAGTTGGTAAACGGAGGAAACATCTTGCTGACTGGAAAAATACATTCGAGCACTGAAACCTGAAAACCGTTGATTCCCTATCATTTTGTGGTTGATTTTCTGCTTCTTAGTTATCGAACATTGACCTTCGGATTCACTACGAAGATTATTCCAAAACTTGTGCTTACCTTCCCCATGATCTTGGCTACAACTATCGGGCGAGATTGAATGGGATCAGATAGAAGGCTTCCATTCAGTTCGTGCAGACGGGCCGCCAGAAAGGAAAACAAACGGTGTTGGTGTCATCACAAATGTGCACCAGTAGTGATGCATCACTATCAAATGCATGGTTAATTCCTGTAATCAAAACATGTATTGGATTACTTTGGAGTGCAAATCACGTTTTCTCCTGTACCATATATCGATCATCACTTTAAATCTCTACACCACTCCGGACTGAAATCGTAGTCAGTTATCTACCATACTGGATACATCTTATTCAATTTTTCTTGCAGAATTCTATCAATTCTGTTTTCATCGTTGCTGGTTATTTCAACAGATCAGATGTGCGTTTTTACATACTTATGTTCTTAACATTGCTAATTTTTCCACTGTGAATAATGTCTCCTTGGGTCACTTTTTCTTTAACGAACCATCTTATCTTCGTGCCTTCAAACACTGTCTGATTACAGTTTTACATACGATGTTTGGTAAATGTTAATAACAGATCCTCACTAAGAGGAATGCAAGTATGGATTTACAACTACTTTCCGATCCCAATATTTCAGTCTTCTGTGGAAACCTCACCAATTATCTCAACTTTTGTTATAATGTGTGCTGTGCGTAGTGAGAATTCACCTACAGCACGACCACTTCAGCTCTGATATACTGAAATGGTTACATAGGCTGAAAGAGAATGTGTATCGCTCACGTAATAAAACGACTGCCAGAACTGTCAACTTTCATATCAGAAGCGATATAGCCCATCAGAATCACCATGCTAAAAGACAAATTCTGCCGTCAATTATGGAATGGACTAGAGTTGCTCTACGTTAATTCAAATTTAC